GTGTTATTTATGTAGTGCGTTTGTAGTGTATGTTTTGGGTCGAAATGGACTAATCTTATTCACAATATTTTTATGGGATAGGAAACAAATTCGGTCAGTACTGGCACTGTAACATACTTCTGGAGTGATAAAATATATCGTTAACCGGGGGGCACTTGTATAGTAGTACCATCACTTTATAAATGGATGTGAAGCTTGGGTGGTAATGCAGCAGCGGGGAGGCAGTTGGAGGAGGCATGGAGATGTCCTGTCTAAGGGAATGGGCAATGTGTGGTTGTAATTATTATGCAGAAAATTCGGAGTGTGGAAATTAGGAAAAGGTTGTGGAGTTAATAAAAGTATTAGTCAGAGGGCAGAAGAGGGGTTATTGAGGTGGTTTTGGTCATTTAGAGAAAAATGGATCAAAGTAGAATGAATGGAAAGCATATAATCTTTAGGGGAAGGAAAGGCGGGGTAGGGGTCGTCCTCGAAGGGTTGGAGAGAAGGGGGTAAAGGAGGTTTTGTGGGCGAGGGGCTTGGACTTCCAGCAAGCGTGGTGAGCGTGTTAGATTGGAGTGAATGGAGACGAATGGTACTTGGGACCTGGCGATCTGTTGGAGTGTGAGCAGGGTAATATTTAGTGAAGGGATTCAGGGAAACCAGTTTTTTCATATAGTCGGACTTAAGTCTGGAAAAGGGAAGTACAAGGCCTGCACTTTAAAGGAGGGATTTGGGATATTGGCAGTTTGGAGGGATATGTTGTGTATCTTTATACGTATATGCTTCTAAACTGTTGTATTCTGAGCACCTCTGCAAAAACAGTGATAATGTGTGAGTGTGGTGAACGTGTTGAATGATGATGAAAGTATTTTCTTTTTGGGGATTTTCTTTCTTTTTTGGGTCACCCTGCCTCGGTGGGAGACGTCTGACTTGTTGAAAAAAAAAAAAATTGTTTGTGGATAACGTGGTGGTGGCAGAAGCCTCCTCCACCACAAATATGTATGGCTTCTCTCAGTGGCCATTATAAACCCAACAACAACACTTCCACCACTTATCCTCACATCATGGCATATTATTTATTCTAGAGTATATATCATGTTTCTATGTTATTAACCTTTGACTGTTTTAGCTGTACATGTACGTCTTATGAGCCAGTGTTTCGGACTTATATATACTCAATAATTATAGTGGCTTCAAATCAAACAGGAGAAAGCTGGTAGGCCCACATGTGAGAGAATGGGTCAGTGTGCACTGTATAAAAAAAATCCTGCAGCATGCAGTGCATAATGAGGAAAAAAACTCAGACCGTGTTTTTGGATTAAAACGCCGACTTTGGGGTATATTTTCGTATAGTATTTATGGTTGTATTCTCGTTTTCTTGGTCTCATTTTATAGAATGGAAAACATATTACAGAAATAGAGAAGATTTTGACTAGTTTCACGATGAAAACGACCTTGAAATTGAGCTCAAAGTAGCTGGGGAGTCTGATATTCTTTCACTAGTGCACTGATATTATTTATACCATTTTTACAATAATGCAGTAGTCTGCATAACAGTAAATCTTCTATTTTTTGTGTGAATAAAAAAATCAAAGTAGAAAGCAAGAGTAATATAAGAGGGGCCTAGAGACGTGACTAATGAACAGAGGATATGTTATTTAATGCCAAGAATGTCTACATTGTTTATTCTGGACCCTGTTTTGAAATTGGCATCTTTTTTAAATTGGGTGAAATTGGCCAAATTGCCAATTTCTGACCACTTTATTGGGTAGTTCAAATCAGTAAATGGGCAGTTTCTTGTACTCATTTGATAGTAAAAATGGAGTTCTAAAGAAATAGCTATGAGTTTCATTGACTGGAATAATGGAATTGGCCGAAAATAGGGCTCAAAATCAGCGAAATCACCGATGCGTATATAACGCCGAGATCACTAACTTTGTTGGAGCATAATTCCATAAGTTTTCGATCAAATTTTATACTTTTGGTGTCATTACCATCGGGAAAAGATTATCATTTTATAAGAAAAAATAGTTTGTTTTTTTTCCAAAAATTTTGCAACATAGAATGACAGTTTCAGAAAGGGGCTTGCAACAATCAAAGAGTTAATATTGTTTATTATGTCATATTAGATGAATTGTGATAGATAAATAAGCTGTAGAGTTCATAATAGCATCATATTGAAGTACTATTCTGTCGTGCCTCCTGACAGCAGGAACGGATTAATTGGATTTCCATTATTTCTTATGGGGAAAATTAAATTGGATAACGTTAAAATCGGTTAAGGACAAGCTCTCTGGAACAGATTAATATTGTTAACTGAGGGTCCACTGTATACTGTAATAAACAGAATAGAGGAAATCAGTTCTAAATATACGTACATTACTTAGGTTGGAGAGCTGGTTGTAAGTCCAAGCGGTATGTCGCTAAGTGAGGTGAGGCTGTAATTTGAAAATGCCTGTACCAGGCAAAACATTAGCAGTAAAAATTTCCCAGTTCATTGTTTTAATTCTTATGCTTCTTTAAAACATTCATATCATTTGTAGGACATACTTTTCTATACAGTAGGGCCCCACTTTTCGGCATTTCACCTTACGGTGTTCCGCTAATACAGCGATCTGAAATTATGACCAAAACTTTCTATACGGCAAGTGGTCTTTCAAATACGGCGCGGGCCTCCCCGGTTTGTTTACATTCTCCATGGGCACATCTCTATTATGTAATAATAATCACTCTTGGGCACATTAAATATCTAATTTCATGTCAATATAGACATTTTCATTAATTTATCTACGATATTTTCTTCAAAATTATATAAGAAACACATTACATAGCTTATAACATGCTGTTTATATGCCTTGGAGGTGTGGTTGCCAGGTGGAGGGAAAACATTACGTAATACTAAAAATAATCACTCTTGGGCACATTAAATGTCTTATTTTACATCAGTATAGACATTTTCATTAATCCATTTATTATATTTTCTTCAAAATTATATAAGAAACACGTTACATAACATATAAACATTTTATGTTTACATGTATACAGTGGACCCCCGCATAACGATTACCTCCGAATGCGACCAATTATGTAAGTGTATTTATGTAAGTGCGTTTGTACGTGTATGTTTGGGGGTCTGAAATGGACTAATCTACTTCACAATATTCCTTATGGGAACAAATTCGGTCAGTACTGGCACCTGAACATACTTCTGGAGTGAAAAAATATCGTTAACTGGGGGTCCACTGTATACTATGGAGGTGTGGTAGCCGGGCGGAGGGAAAACGTTACGTCACTCCCCTTAATACATAATGCTTTTGTTTACAATTCTTGGCATAAATTATTCATTACTTCTCCCTTTGTTTATGATGGCATCTAAAGGTAGTTGTTAGAAACGATTAAACTCAGTGAACACGGTATGTCGATGGTAATAATATGGCTCTGGGGGGTATTAAATATCATGAGGTATGTAGCCCAGGCGGACTACATACACCTACCATCCGACTTATGACCTGCTCGACATACGACCACTCGACTTAGGACCGTGTTTTTATGCCAGATTTCTGGGAAATAAACAACTGTTGGTGTTGTATACAGTGTTTATCGTAAACCTTACAGTATAAAATACAGTACTAACAGCATAAAAAGTAAAGTAAAAAATGAAATACCAAAATAAAACAATAAAATAAAATCATTACAAAAGTGTGATGTTGATATTCAGTAGTAAGGTTCGACTTGCTTCCATTTTGACTTGCAACCGGTTGGTTGGAACCAAGCTTGGTCGTAAGTCGGATGGTACCTGTACCTACATTTTTTTTATAACTGATAATTATACGTATGTGTACCTGTACCTAAGTAAACCTACACACTGTGCTGGCATGCAGGTACACATTAAAATCACTAAGAGTGTCTTATTAGTCTTGAAGACGCTTTATTAATAATAATAACACAATAATAATCGCTCTAAGGAGCATTAAATATCGTATAAAACGTTAATATGGATATTTTGCTTAATCCATCTAAATACACCCCATAGTAGAATAAATTAACATAAATATGAAATGTGGTAGCCAGGTGACTTGTAGGACTTGTGGTAGCCAGGCAACTTGTGGTAGCCAGGCAACTTGTAGTAGCCAGGCAACTTGTGGTAGCCAGGCAACTTGTAGTAGCCAGGCAACTTGTGGTAGCCAAGCAACTTGTAGGATTTGTGGTAGCCAGGCAACTTGTAGTAGCCAGGCAACTTGTAGGACTTGTGACGAAAACCAGACGCATTCATCTGGGTTGTTTACATTGTGTGTGGGTGAGGTGGGTAGGGCTGGCCTTCCTGGCTACCCATACTTTCCAACCTGACTTCATACAAATAAAACTCGCCTTTCACCCTACATTAAGACTACAAATATTTTAAGGTAATTAATGAGTGTACTATATATGCATTTTATCGCTCTAGGGAGCTTAATGTCATAGTAGGTATAAGTGCCAGTGGCCAGGCAGGATACCATACCTCCCACACGACTTTCTACAAATAAATACTTTTCATTTCTCACCCTACATTAAGACTATAAATATTTTAAGGTAAGTAATGAGTGTACTGTATATGCAGTTTATCACTCTAGGGAGCTTTAAGCATCATAGTATAGTATGTGTGGGTGGGGTGTCCAGGAGGGCTCCCACACCTAACTTCTTAGAGTAAATACTACTCACCTTTTGCCCTGCATTAAGACTACAAATATTTTGAGGTAAATAATGAGTGTACTGTGTATGTATTTTACTTTTTAATGCCTAGTTCTATTGCTAACCTAATATATGTTAGATTAAAACTTGTTATCTGGCATTTATATGCATTTATAAATGGAAAAAATGGAGTACTGCTTTCCGGCGAAGTCTGCTTTCCAGCAGTAGCCTGGAACCTAACCTGCCGAATAAGTGGGGCCCTACTATACTGTTGCATGTTTGTTTTTAAAATAGGATCCCAATAGCTTTACATGGTGGACATAAGCAATAACTAAATTTTTGTTTTGTCACAGTGGCTTCCAGTGTACCGTGATGGCAGCTTACAGACGGGCGAGCACAGCCTCCCTGTTATGATGGAACGACCTCCAAGCAACTATCCATATATTACTGCAGATATCCAGTTACCAGGCACTAAATGGGTTGACAACCACAAGGGGCTGTTTACTGTGTGTGTTGAGGCTGTTTCATCAGTCCATGCTCAGGTACAAGGTCAAGATTACTTTTCAATCCTCATTTGAATATATTTGGTTTTATTATCAGTAATTCTTTCTCTTGATGTCTTGTTTTTGTTACTTTCCTCCTTTTAAAGAACACTGCTTTTTATGAACATGCTTACCTAATTTAAAATTTCTGTTATATTGAGGCATTATAATGAGTACCTCCCTTCTTCCTGTCCTGAATATTTTCTATCATTCTGGTTTCTTTATCTTAACTGTGTTTTTTTTCATATAGTTTGTCATGCAAGGTCACAAGACTGAATTTTGAAGGATAATGGACACATTTCTGTATGAAGAATCATGGGGAGGAGAGGCAGTTGGACTTATGCTATGCTTCTTCCAACCTAATACCTCCCACTCTGTTGCAGTATGATCTTAATGCTTGTTTGCTCCCAAAACATCCTCGTTTTCGCCTCTTACTGGTTATTACACTATTAAGATAAGATAAGATTTCGTTCGGATTTTTAACCCCGGAGGGTTAGCCACCCAGGATAACCCAAGAAAGTCAGTGCGTCATCGAGGACTGTCTAACTTATTTCCATTGGGGTCCTTAATCTTGTCCCCCAGGATGCGACCCACATCAGTCGACTAACACCCAGGTACCTATTTGCTGCTAGGTGAACAGGACAACAGGTGTAAGGAAACGTGTCGGAATGTTTCCACCCGCCGGGAATCGAACCCGGGCCCTCCGTGTGTGAAGCGGGAGCTTTAGCCACCAGGCCACCGGGCCTGGAAAGCATACCAGTGTTGACAGCTGAGGCAATACTGTAGCCAAGAGAAAAACAGTCTACTGGGAAGCTTTTTGCCGACATACCGAATTGGAACTAAAGGCCAGTCTGGTCCAAATATAGTTGAGTGCCACCTTGGAGAACCACTTTGGGACAGACAACAGTGGGTGAAGATATCTCAGGAACATTACTGCAGTGGATTGGCAGAAGAAATTGAAGAGAATTATGTTCATGAAACAGAAAGCTCATTTAGATAATACATGTATTACTTGTAAGCTTGGATCTTCTTGATGGCTTACCAGAGTATAACAACTGAGAGAAAAACTAGATTACAACCACCATTATGATACCAGAGGCTAGAGTTCTATTATTGTAGAGGAAGATATGAATAAAAACTTGAGGAAAAATCTTGCATCACTGGAGAGAGCATACACATGGGGAAAGATGACAAGCTCCATTCAGGGATGCTGCCAGAGATGTTAAGGAAGACTAGTAACTGGGGAAGTCAAAGAGGAGGATAGACCCTGTACCTGGCAGTTCATCAAAGAGCCAACTAGTGAGAATTATGGAAGTACATGTATATTACCAGTGAAAAACACTTGAGAGGGTAGACTAGTAAAGCAGAGGCTACAGGAAGAACATGACTGAGTACACTGGAGTCTTCCATCTAGGTGAGGCAAGAGTGCAAAATCCTAGAACACTGGGTCCTGCGCACATGTATTTTGAGAGGGTAGTGGGAGTAATAGCATCATGATCTGGGCTTCCTGCATAAGGCAGGCCATGACAAACCACAGGCAAAGTGGGACCCCCAAAACTCCTGTCTTAGGGAGAAGGATGATACCTGGCCTAGTGACAAAACTGGGAGCAGAACCAGTCAAACCTTGGTGATGCTGATGAATATCTTAACCCTTTGAGTGTCATAACCCCTGCTTGCAAAATTGTTCCCAGGATCGAAGAGTTTAAAAAAAAAAAATTCTTATGAATTGATAATCTTTTTTCATTGATAATGAAACGAGTACAAAATTTGATGGAAAACTTACGGAATTATGCCTTCTCGAAGTTAGAGCAGTTTCGGCGATGTTTAGTCATCAGTGATTTTGCCCACTTTGAGCCCGATTTTGGGCCAATTCCATTGTTCCAGTCAACCAAACTCATAGCTATTTCACTGGAACTCCTTTTGTTCTATCGTTTGAGCACAAGAAACTGCCCATTTACCTATTTCAACTACATTAGTTCGTTATATTACATGGTAGCTATGTTCCTGAAAATGCCGTAATAGGTAAATCCATGTTAGATAAGCTAGAGAACTTGTGGGAAAAATAGGGTTATGTTCCTGGGACCCTCAAAAAAGCCAAACAACTTTTTTTTAGACCTCCAAATCTTACAAAAATAAAAGTGAACATATAATTGTTGTTCATTGTTGTGATGTATTATGTTGTTTTTACTGCTTAAGACTTCAAATGCAACAGAATTAATAGTATTTTTTACCTTAAACTGTGGGTGCTGGTGTTTGTCGACAGTTGTGGAAAGAGTGGAGAGTTATGCTCTGGCCCTACTGGGCTGAGGTAGATGGTAAAAGTTCTAGCACTGAAGTCGATGGTTGTACTGGAGTGTGCATAAATTCTGTAATGGATTTTTGGGCTGTTTTACCCTGCAGTACATTATACAGCTGACGTAAGGCATCAGCTGCTCTAGACCATTTCAGAGCACTGCTTCTAGATTTGTCAGGGGCCTCTTCAGTGAAAAAAGTCGAACTTTAAGTCAGTAAAGTCAAGTCAGTGAGTAAGTGAGGTAACGTGAGAGGTAGATCATGGTATTGAACGTGATATTGTGTATATGGGCTTCAGTAAGGCTTTCGATAGAGTTCCACATCAGAGGCTATTGAGGAAACTTAAGGCACATGAAATAGGAGAAGTTTTTTCCTGGGTAGAGACATGGTTGACAAAAGGCAGCAGAGTTTGCATAAATGGGGAGAAATCAGAATGGGGGCAAGTCACAAGTGGTGTTCCACAGGGGTCAGTGTTGGGCCCCTTGTTGTTCACAATTTACATAAACGACATAGATGAGGGAATAAATAACGACATAAGCAAATTTGTTGATGACGCCAAAATAGGCCGTCCAATTCATTCTAATGAGCATATTAGAATGCTCCAGGATAATTTGAATACACTGATGCAATGGTCAGAGAAGTGGCAGATGCAGTTAAATATAGACAAATGCAAAGTTCTAAATGTTGGAATGAATAATAACCATGCTACATGTAAACTAAATGTAGATCTTAACTCTTTGACTGTCGCAAGCCCCTTTCTGAAACTGTCATTCTATGTCACAAAATTATGAAATGATAGAGAATCTTCTCCCAATGGTAATGACACCAAAAGTACGAAATTTGGTTGAAAACTCACGGAATTACGCTTCTGTGAAGTTAGCGGTCTCGGCAACATACACGCATCAGTGATTTCACCGACTTTCAGCCCTGTTTTTGGCCAATTCTGTTGTTCCAGTTAACCTAACTCATAGCTATTTCTTTAAAACTCTATTTTTTCTATCAGTTGAGCACAAGAAACTGCCCATTTACCAATTTGAACTACCCAATAAAGTGGGCAGAAATTGGCAATTTGGCCAATTTCACACAAATTAAAAAAAGTTGCCAATTTCAAAATAGGGTCTAGAATAAACAATGTAGACATTCTTGGCACTAAAATAACATATCCTCTGTTCATTAGTCATGTCTCTAGGCCCCTCTTATATTACTATTGCTTTCTGTTTTGATTTTTATTCATACAAAAAATACAAAATTTACTGTTATGCAGACTGATTCATTATTGTAAAAATGGTATAAATAATATCAGTGCACTAGTGAAAGAATATTAGATTTGCCAGTTGACGTGTATTGGACGTGTGGTGTGATTTGCTTACTCTTGAACATTGGTAAAAATCGAGCATTTCCGCTACTTTGAGCTCAATTTCAAGGTCGTTTTCATAGTGAAACTAATCAAAATCATCTCTATATCTGTAATATGTTTTCCATTTTATCACGTGAGACCATGAAAACGAGAATACAACGATAAATACTATACGAAAATACACCTCAAAGTTGGCGTTTTAATCCAAAAAACGGTCAGTTTTTTTCTTATGCATTGTATGCTGCAGGATTTTTTTTATGTGATGCACACTAACCACACAGGCCCATTCTCACATGTGGGCCTACCAGCTTTCTCCTGCTTGGTTTGAAGCCGCTAGAATTTATGCATATTAATACGTCCGAAACACTGGCTCTTAAGACGTATGTATACGACCAAAACAGACAAAGGGTTAATATTACTGATTGCAAAAAGGATTTAGGAGTTCTGGTTAGCAGTAACCTGAAACCAAGACAGCAGTGCATACGCATTCACAATAAAGCTGACAGAATCCTTGGCTTCATATCAAGAAGCATAATTAATAGAAATCCTCAGGTTGTTCTTCAACTCTATATATCCTTGGTTAGGCCTCGTTTAGATTATGCTGCACAGTTTTGGTCACCGTATTACAGAATGGACATAAATGCACTGGAAAACTTACAGAGGAGGATGACGAAGTTGATCCCATGTACCAGAAACCTTTCCTATGAGGATAGGCTGAGGGCCCTGAATCTGCACTCTCTAGAAAGGCATAGAATTAGAGGGGATATGATTGAGGTGTATAAATGGAAAACAGCAGTGAATAAAGGGGATGTAAATAGTGTGCTAAAAATATCTAGCCTAGACAGGACTCACAGCAATGGTTTTAAGCTGGAAAAATTCAGATTCAGGAAAGATATAGGAAAGCATTGGTTTGGTAATAGAATTGTGGATGATTGGGACAAACTCAGGAGTACCGTTATAGAAGCTAAGACGTTGTATAGTTTTAAAAATAAGTTTGATAAATACACGAGTGGGTGTGAGTTGGACCTGACTAGCTGGTGCTACTGGGTCAGATGCTGTGCTCCCTCCTTAAGTGGAGGTGTCCTGACTGGGTGGGCCATTGGTGTAAGCCGGGGGTTGACATGGACCTGCCACACATGGGCCAGTAGGCCTGCTGAAGTGTTCCTTCTTTCTTATGTTCTTATACATATTCTTACAAATTCGTATATTTACCTCATTCTTTTTAATTGTGTGAACTGACGGTTCATTAAGGCCATAGGCTCTTGCTGTATCCACCACACGTGAGCCACTTTCATGCTTGTCTAATATGTTGATTTTCTTCATAACTCCAAGACGTATATGCTTTAACCTT